GCAGCGTCGGCCATTTTAAATGATTAATAAGGAAAAACTGCGTGTTGACAAAATACCTGTTCTGTCAGCATGTTAGCTTCCAGAACTGTAATGTTGGCATGATGCTGGACATGCTCATTTGCATATCAGATCACTCTAGTCAAGAACGTATGCCACATCAAAGCTCTACGTACAGTGTGTGAATGCTGGTTCGATATCCTCGGCAGAACAGGACCCATTATATCTTGAGACGAGTTACATGTTTAACAGATTTTTTTGTTTTTGTTTTGTTTATTTATTTCATTCATTTAAATTGTTTACTTTTGAATGTGCTGGAAAGTCCTAAGTAGCTTTGAATCAGTTGCTGTTTTGTGCTTTACAATTGTTGTTTTTCTAGCTTTTTTCTACCTGAGATGTTGTTGCAGTACAGTGTTCATAGTTTTGCACTGGTCCAGACCAGAGCGGAGAGGATTCATGGAGAGAGAGTGTTGGCCCATTCTCTCTCGGGCCAACAAGGAGACGCTGATGCATGCTTTTATCACCAGTCGCATTGACTACTATAATGCCCTGCTCTCTGGTCTTCCCAAAAAGAATATTTCAGGTTTACAATTACTTCAAAACTCGGCAGCAGGTGTCCTGACTAAGACCAGGGGGCGGGACCACATTACACCGGTTTTAAAATCGCTGCATTGGCTCCCCGTGTGTTTCAGGATCGATTTTAAGGTTCTTTTAATGGTTTTTAAATGTCTTAATGGTCTTGGGCCTTCTTATCTTTCAGATTTGCTTTTATCCTATGAACCTTCCCGGCCCCTGCGCTCCTCCGGCAGCAGACTCCTAACCATCCCCAAAGTCAGGACACACACTCACGGCGAGGCATCTTTCCAGCACTACGGCCCCCGTCTCTGGAACAGTCTGCCGGAGGAGCTCAGGGCCGCAGAGAACGTTCATATTTTTAAGAGTAGGCTCAAGACGCACCTTTTTAGAGTAGCTTTTGATTAGTATTTATTATTTATTATTGCTTTTTAGTACATCTATTTATGTTTTTAGACACATTCTATTTTTATTTATCATTTACTATTTTTAATTATTTATTGTATCTTCCCATTTACTATTGTTATTATCAATATTAGGCAGCTGCCATTTTTCTTTTTATTGTCACATTTTATTGTTCTACTTTCTATTGTATTATTGTATTGTTTTAGTGTCCCCAGTGTTTCCTCTGGAGGAGCCCTCTGCACTGAGAGCTGGGGTCTGCTGTGGCTTCGGGGGTCTGGCTCTTGGATCCGGTGGGGGTCTGGGGCCTCCTCTCTCCTCTGGGTCCTGTGTCGTTCCCTGTGGCTGCAGCCGGCTCTCTGCTCCTGGTGCAGATGGCTCCTTGGATGACGCTTCTTCAGCCGGTTACATCTGCTCCCAGCCCCATTTCTTTTTATTGTTTTACCTATTTTACCTGATATGACTTTATACTTGTGTATATATGTGTGTGTGTGTGTGTGTGTGTGTGTGTATATGTGTGTGTGTGTATACGCATGTGGTTGTATATATAATTATGGTTTTGGGGGGGTCTGTGGGGAGGAGGGTTTAGGGCTGGGCATGTTGGATTGTTTTTAACTAAACTGTAAAGCCCTTTGTGTTACACTTTTTGTATGAAAAGCGCTTTATAAATAAAATTTGATTGATTGATTGATGGTCCGAAACAAGCGGATCCACTGGAAGAATGCTAACTTTTAGAAAAATGCTAACAAAACAATCAGCATCTCACTTTGGACCAGAGCAGAGAAAAGGGTCTGAACCAAGCGGCTATTCCACCTCTGCTGCAATGATCTATCTACAGTGCCTTGCGAAAGTATTCGGCCCCTTGAACCTTTCAAAATTTTGCCACATTTCAGGCTTCAAACATAAAGATATAAAAATTACATTTTTTGTCAAGAATCAACAACAAGTGTGACACAATCGTGAAGTGGAACGAAATTTATTGGATAATTTAAACTTAAAAAAAATATATAAACTGAAAAGTGGGGCGTGCAATATTATTCGGCCCCCTTGCGCTTGTACTTTGTAGCGCCACCTTTTGCTGCAATTACAGCTGCAAGTCGCTTGGGGTATGTCTCTATCAGTTTTGCACATCAAGAGACTGGAATTCTTGCCCATTCTTCCTTGCAAAACAGCTCGCGCTCAGTGAGGTTGGATGGAGAGCGTTTGTGAACAGCAGTCTTCAGCTCTTTCCACAGATTCTCGATTGGATTCAGGTCTGGACTTTGACTTGGCCATTCTAAAACCTGGATACGTCTATTTGTGAACCATTCCATTGTAGATTTGGCTTTATGTTTTGGATCATTGTCCTGTTGGAAGATAAATCTCCGTCCGAGTCTCAGGTCTTTTGCAGACTCCAACAGGTTTTCTTCCAGAATGGTCCTGTATTTGGCTCCATCCATCTTCCCATCAATTTTAGCCATCTTCCCTGTCCCTGCTGAAGAAAAGCAGGCCCAAAGCATGATGCTGCCACCACCATGTTTGACAGTGGGGATGGTGTGTTCAGGGTGATGAGCTGTGTTGCTTTTACGCAAAACATATCGTTTTGCATTGTGGCCAAAAAGTTCGATTTTGGTTTCATCTGACCAGAGCACCTTCTTCCACATGTTTGGTGTGTCTCCCAGGTAGCTTGTAGCAAACTTTAAACGAGACTTTTTATGGATATCTTTGAGAAATGGCTTTCTTCTTGCCACTCTTCCATAAAGGCCAGATTTGTGCAGTGCACGACTGATTGTTGTCCTATGGACAGACTCTCCCACCTCAGCTGTAGTATCTGCAGTTCATCCAGAGTGATCATGGGCCTCTTGGCTGCATCTCTGATCAGTCTTCTCCTTGTTTGAGATGAAAGTTTGGGGGGACGGCCGGGTCTTGGTAGATTTGCAGTGGTCTGATACTCCTTCCATTTCAATATAATTGCTTGCACAGTGCTCCTTGAGATGTTTAAAGCTTGGGAAATCTTTTTGTATCCAAATCTGGCTTTAAACTTCTTCACAACAGTATCTCGGACCTGCCTGGTGTGTTCCTTTGTCTTCATGGTTCTCTCTGCGCTTTATAAAGAACCCTGAGACTATCAAAGAGCAGGTGCATTTATACGGAGACTTGATTACACACAAGTGCATTCTATTTATCATCATCAGTCATTTAGGACAACATTGGATCATTCAAAGATCCTCACTGAACTTCTGGAGTGAGTTTTCTGCACTGAAAGTAAAGGGGCCAAATAATATTGCACGCCCCACTTTTCAGTTTTTTATTTGTTAAAAAAGTTTAAATTATCCAATAAATTTCGTTCCACTTCACGATTGTGTCCCACTGGTTGTTGATTCATGACAAAAAAATAAAATGTTATATCTTTATGTTTGAAGCCTGAAATGTGGCAAAATGTTGAAAGGTTCAAGGGGGCCGAATACTTTCGCAAGGCACTGTATCTATCTATCTGTCTAAATGTATTGTAACACAAGCTTGGTTATTTTAACCTGCAGCGGATTCAACAACTTGTGTTTCCATATAAAGCCCAGTGACTCACACCTCGGTCTCTGTCACCGGGCTGAAGTTCAGATTGATACTGAATTTGTCGTCAGGGGACTATGGGGTGGGTTTACAGTTAGTCTCAAGCAATTCCACTTTAATTAAACTAATTCAGGTTCACGGGAGTCAAAAAAGCTTCATATACTGTATGTGTAGAACAAGTGTTCCCATTTCAGTGTTATTTCAAAGAGTCAACTTTGGGACAAGCTCTCATTAGGGACAATTATGGCGTGTCTCCATCTCCATCATGTATGTATTTGTAACAGCTTCTGAAGATAGTGTCCTTTTCAAAACCTAGTAACATAATGTCATACTTTGCAATTCAAATCCAGCCCAAATGATGATCTTTTGAAGCACACACTTTTTGCACAATTGATCTGTTTTGTTGTTTTTCCAGGGTACGCCAGTGTGTATGGCATGTACAGGAAGATCACGGATGAGTCCAAGCTCGCCCTGACGCCTCAGTCTTAGAAACAGCTGGCGGCAGATGTGCAGTTCTGTGAAGTGTCTCTAATACTTCAATGGCTCAGTGATCAGAACAGATTGTGCTGCCTCACATTAGCCCTTAGTAAGTGGAATGAATCACGCATTTATGGGCTATTGTTCTATCTTTGTACAATAGCCTCTTCAGACAAAGCGTCACTGCAAAGAGCTGCCACAAACAGAACAGTACAGTTTCACATTTTCTTTATGACACATGCAGTTGAAGGATACTTTTGCATATCTTTCAAAAACATATATTTATGTTCACTGTTCACATTTTGTTGCTTTCCTTGCTTTGTAAATCTTGATCTGTCTTAAGCAGGAAAGGATTTTGCAGAACCTCAGTTTATTGATTAGAATAAATTAGTTTCAATAATAACACGATCTTGGAGATTTTAGTTAACGTGCTAACCTCTTGCTAATGTTTTAATGCCCAAACAATGATGTCATAAAGAGTCTGGTGTTTGTTTTGTGCAGCAGTGTCGTCTTGTCTGATGTTTACAGTTAGCAGAAAACGTGTTCTGTACATCCATTGCCTGATGTTAATGTTACTGTTTTTACTCATCTTGTAATTCAAACAATAATTCAACACCGTTTATACAATGCATTTACAAAAAGTTGAATATGTGGTTACCTAACTCTATTCTCAATTAGTCCGTTACTCCCCAAACCTGTATGCTGGTATGTCACAGTTGATGATACTCTGTGGCAGAATGCCCCTTATCAGGTTAAAGGCTTTGTTTCTTTGTAAATCAAATGACTTACAAAACACTGTATCCAAACTCGCTGTATCTGGATGATGGTTTATGTCTTGTACATAAACTGAAAACACAGGGAGGTCACCGTCCGACAACGTTTTATGTAATGCAATGAAAACCTACTGTGTCATGAAAAAATTTACAATTCTCATGTTACTGTTATTTTGAAACAGCTGATAGACTAATGTGATTCTGGATAAGTAAAAGGTTGAAGACACTTACTTGTTCTGAAGTAGTGTTTTCTTTAAGCAGCAATCTTTACCTGGACGGGTGTAACTTTAAACCACAGCCCAGCAGAGGACTGGCTGAGCAGAGTCAAATGACTGAGTCATAAGGACTTTGTCCCACTCACTCTGTCCTGGGATTGGCTGTGGCTCTGCTCCCGAGAAATGTAATCCAGAGAGAGTGCGTGGGGAATTCTGGTCCGTAGGTAACACTGTTGCTGTTTGAGCCCAGCCAAGGTGAGCAGGAAGCAGGCACAGGGGGCGGAGCCACGGAAAGGTAAACAAGAAGTGCCCAAACCTGTTCAGGACAAAGTGGAATCGTCATACTCACCGTGGGCAACGGGCACAATACACACACTGACTTTGGACCCACTCAAGTGTCACCATTCAGAAACCAAACATTTATTTAAACTCACCTCAGAGTTTAAATAAATGTATGCAGAATGTGCTTTTACATTTAAAACATTTTGTTTTGTTTATAACAAAACCTATTTTTATTTGAGTTACAAATCATTGTATCAGTGTTTTTGTATCACAGACAGACACTGCTCCAGACAGACTGATGTCCTTATGTGAGTCAGACTTTGGGCTCCACCATTTCCAAAGAATATTCCCCAGGTGCAGTGACACTGTGAACAAGGCGTCACATTATTGGTATTAAAGGTAAATGTGCACTTTATTGATCCCCGTAGTGCAATTCATCCTCTGCATTTGACCCATCCTGATGCCGCTAAGGGCTTACGTCAGGAGCAGTGGTCGCTGTAGTAACAGCGCCCGGGAACCCATCTCTAGATGTTGATGCTCTGTTGGTTAGGACTACCGCAGCTAGAGGATTTTTACCTAGTGTGCATGTTTTTAGTGGTAGGGGAACCCGGAGTACCCGGAGGAAACCTACGCAGGCACAGGAAGAACATGAAAACTCCACTCAGAAAGACCCTGTTCCGACCGAGATTCGAACCCAGGACTTTTGTGCTGAGAAGCAAGAGCTTCTCAACCACCATGCCACCCCATATTCCTATTTTTTTTTTTTTTTTTACTATGCCTTGGTAATTGATAATAATCCAAATGTTTGACCATTTCCAGTTCTGTTCTAAAACGTATCGTTATAATGGCTGAAACAAATACAAAAGTCAACACTGAAAAAAACAAATAGATGATTGTGAATCATAACTTTATTACAGACTCCATATCCAATTTAAAACATACAGACAAGCAGAAAAACAAATAACAAATAATAACAAAACGAACAACAGTTGGGGACGATGGTTGGCTACAATCTGGAGTGATGTGTTCATGAACATGTACTGTCCCAAACAAATAAACAACAAATGCCCCACCATTTGAATACGTCCCAGGGACGGGCATAAAAACAAACATTTTATATTTGTTGCTTCTTTTCTAGTGCATACCCCGGGACATGTGTTCTCAATCACTCAAAGCGTATCCATTACCAACTGTCTGTCTGTTTCTCTATACATTTTTCCATCACATTAGTTGACTGCATCTTTGTTTGATTAGCAATTAATCTTGACTCCAGCTCTGAAAATACAAGGTAATATTTGATGAGCTATTAAAATCTCCTCACAAAACAAACAACACTAAAGTCCACCCACATGTTTCTATACTTGGAGCAACTTTCTTGTTTTTATTGTCCTCAAATCAACCATTAAAACTCCCCTGCTGATCATCCTGGGGCAAATTACAGCTCTTTTCCAGGTAGAACCACCTCTGCTTTTTCAGTCTACAATAATAGAGTCCAATGAGTCAGATCTGGGTTTTTTTTTGACGGTTCACTGACTCCAGAGGTGAGTTTTTACATAAGACTGAAAATGGTCCTTAATCTTCACACTTTTGTAACGCTAACTATGAAAAGTGCTGTATTTTGTGATCAAATTATCAAAAAGATGTTCCCTTGAGAATTTGAGCCCTTGTCACCAACAACAAAAAATCTATCCGACTACACTATTTTAATGTAAATAATACCATTTGAATGTTGTTTAATTTCAATATATCATTTTGCAGTATTCCATACACTCACTTAGTACTGGTGTCCTGTACGTTAGGCTGACCTTAAATCTGTCACAATCTCGATTCCCCTTTCACATAATTCTTTCAAGTTTAAATGCACAGTTTTATTCTAAAAAAATGCACATAATATATTGGGATTAGTTTGTGTTTTAAGGATTGTCCTGATATGTAAAAACCAGCCCCAGGTGAAACCAAACTGTTGCCCTCCTTGCACCATAACTGAGAATACCATTAATGACACCTCTCTAGTTTCAATGTCCTTGGGCTCAAACAATAGACCTCCATCCATTGTTTCATTCACCTGAAACACTGTCTCCATGTAAACGGGAGGCCAAACTGACACCCAACTCTAACGTTTTACTGTCGCAGCGTCTCCGTCTAAATGGGCCTTACATAAGACAACCCTGTAACATTTGCTTCTAAAATCAACAATTCATGTATACTGTATGTAGGCAAGTGTTTGACCTTGCATTTTAAGATAGGAAAGAAAGTGTTGATTTTACATTTAAACAATTTAACTTTTTGTTAAAATAAAGTGTGATAAAGTGAGTCTGTTAAATATGTCAATACGAGTCCACATGTGCATAACCCTGTCCTTCCCCAATGTCTCTGCCGTCTCCAACACTTCACCCTGGCTTGTAAAGAAACTGGAGCCTTGAATGGCACAAAGACAGAGATTTTCCATTTCACAGGATTTTGAAATGGTCTTTTTATTCCTTGCAGAGATCCATCCATCAACCAATGCTTTTTGCATATTCAAATCATCTGGATTTACTTTCCTTTTTACCTTGGGCCGCTTTCATAAAAAAACTATTATTAATGAATATTAAAATGAATCATTATTCAATAATAATGAGAATCATGATTATCATCATAATATCTCATATACTGTAGTGCTATTCATGACACCCAAAGATACTTATTATTCATGCCGAGCCAGCGAGCTATGTGCCATCAGCCTCCACAACCACGGTCAATCATTCACACCAGAATCACACTGAGCCTTGTGGGTAAATTGTCTCACTCATGGACACATCCACTGCCACCGCACTGTCACAGCCGTCTCCCATCACAATATTAACCAGGCCCTTTCCTACTTAGCTTCCGAGGGATGGGTTTCCCATGCAGGGGTATGCAAGTTTATTAGCTTCTTTGCTAAAAGAATTGGATCCCAGCCTGACAAGTGCACATGTTTGAAGCTTCAGGTTTCCTTCAGTAAAGAAAGCTGAGGTTAATGCAGCAGAGTGAGAGAGCAGGTTTTGGAAACATGCTTTAAATCCTCTGGACAAACTGGTTTCTCAGGAACATGATTTATTATTCTTTAATTGCTGTGAGCTTCAGAGACAGCAAAGATTGACTCTTAGAGAGACAGATTTCTGTTGAATAACACTCAGAACATTTCAGACATTAATAGATCGGTGGTGTTTGACTTGTTCCCAAATTGCTTTTTCTCCCAAATTGCTTTTTCTCTTTGTGTGGAAGATAGTGGCTAAATTGCTCTTAAATGGCAGAATGAGTCCTGTGATGTCAGACTTTGGAATAGCAGCATGAGTCAGAACAATTGAGCAAAAATAATGCCCACTGATTGCAGAAACTCTTTAAGTTTAATGGTATATAATTACATAGCATACATTATTTGAAATGTTCATTCATCATTCTTAAATTGCTGAATTCAAATCATTAAAATTAGTGTGGAAGCAACAATGAGGCCAACGGACAGAGAATAAATAATGGGATTGATAACTATGGAATAATAAAGTGTTCAATAAGCATGAAAAACATTCATAATGGTTGATAATCTTACTTGAATGGGCTTTAGCTTCTTATAGAAAATGACTAACGTTGAGATCAGTTCATAAAACCAATCTAATAACCATTAAAATAAATCAACAAAGCCTCAAATCAACAATGGCCCTGCAAAATAAAAAGCGCAAAAAAGTTGATAGTTGGTCCTCCTTAGCGCCGTGTAGAGAGACAATGTCGCCACCATCTTTTTTTAGTCGTGTGAGCGCCCACCACAAGAATCCTTTTTTTTCTCTTTTCATTCCATTTTATTTCATCCATCATCTGCTTAATTATTGATACTTTCAGGACATGTGCAAACAACCTCTTGTTCTGGCATGCTTCAACGGTTTCCCTAAATATTTGGAATGAACAGTGGCAGGCTCTCGCGGGTCACCTGTCTGTGGTATTATTCCAACAGCTCAATGACGCACTTCTATCCCGAGCCTAGAAAAGAAACAATCCCTTTTCTCTGTAATGCCACTTTGCCATGTATCTGCTTTATCCCTGTCGCTATAATCCTGCTCTTCTCCCGTCGCTCTCTCTCTTTGTCCAATTGTTTTCTGATTCTGTCACATTTTCAAACATCTCTGTACAGTACAAAAGCGCCTATGATTTGAAACTGTGGTTGAGAGCAGATGAACAGTGGTAACGTTGTGTCAAAAATCAGACATCTAGGGTTAGATTTACACATTTTGATTATTATTTGATTATTTTCTCATAAAGGCTATCTATAAGTGATGCTGCATGATGTTGAAAAAGGACTTTTAGACATAAGGGTAATATAGAAAATTAATCTAATCCTCGTCAAATATTGAATGAATGAATGACAGTTTATATTATGGAATAAAATCATCAGAAAAAGCACAAAATACAAACAACAATAAACACAAGACAACAACAACAAGACTTAAGACTTATTCAAAAGGATTAGGAAAAAGCCAAAGCTTATTATTAATTTTGAAAAACCTTTGGATTTTCTTTTTTCGTTTCTTTCAACATTTGCTTCTTTGAAAAGGAAAAAAAAGAAAAAAATTTGAAGTGAAATAAAGTTCTAGAACATAAACAGAACCAACTTAACTGCCGTCCTGTTAATCTCTGAACTGGTTCTAATAATAATAATAATAATAATAATAATAATACATCAGTTTTATATAGCGCTTTTCAAGAACTCAAAGACGCTTCAAAAATTCATGACACAAACACACACGTTTAGACAGACACACAAACTAAAAATCTAAGAGTGAGGAAGAAGGGTAGAGAGTTTAAACTAATAGTCAAATGCTTGGAGGAAAAGGTGAGTTTTGAGCTGTTTTTTGAAGGAGTTTAGAGAGTCAGAGTTTCTGAGATGGAGGGGGAGGGAGTTCCAGAGAGTGGGAGCAGAGATGGCGAAAGCTCGGTCCCCCAAGGTTCGGTGCTTGGATTTGACAGTGGGAGTGAGGAGATGTGAGTCTGCAGATCGGAGTCGGCGGGAGGGACTGTAGGGCTGTAGAAGTTCAGTGAGGTAAGGAGGGG